TATCAACACGTGGCAAGGTGACGCCAACATGTAAGCCGAGGTTCTACGTGCTCTAGTCTATATGCCCAGGTCATCTCAGCATAGCCGATGTTATCTCCGAAGATATCAGAATCCGAGATAAGCGGATAAAAGATAAGGGACAAGAGTCTTAGAGTAAAGAGGAGATTTAGCCAAGATAAGGATAAAACTCTTAGAGAGTTCATCTTTATCTCTGAAGGAGTCCAATGTAAGTATTGAACAGGAATCCATAGAAGTTAGGCTTCTATTGAGATTAGGATTGAGGTAAACTATAAAAGAGAGGCACTCCCGTGGGTTTAAGGTACGCAATTTTATGCTTTGAGCATTGAGTTTAGCATTGTTGATTATCTTTGAGAGATATACTGACTTGATCGTCAGAGTGCCCCCGGGTGGACGAACCACCGCCGGAATCTTCTCTTTCTGTTACAGGTTAGCCAGGTGTCATCTATTCTGCCAGTGTTCTCTAGCTGAGTACTGAGTTGGGCAGTGTGATCGGAAAATCACTCACACAAATAGTGAGTTACACATAAGCTAAAGAACGTTGAGAAATCACAATGTAATTTTATAATGCAAAATATTAACCTTTAAGAATTTTGTATTAATCTAAGCTAGTAGCTTGTTTACTTTTTAAATTTTTAATAGGTCTTGCAAATATTTCATTTCAATATCAAGTTTAATATATTTATATTACAATAATAGAACAATTCACAACTTGTCCCTATGCTTTTTCCTTTGACACTAATGAAAAATATTGTATTCGAGTTTACTTGCTTATTTATTTATTGATATTTAATTTTACCAATGTCATGTTCTCTTGTTAATTCTTACTTTCTATGTAGTTACAGAGGACATACATGAAATAATTAGGATACATTAATTTGATAAATTCTATTATTTAACTCATTGTGCTCTTCTTATTGAAGAGCTTAACAAAATATTAGAAAAATATTCTTATATTTATACTTGCAATTATATTATATTATATTACTATGCAAGAAATGTTACAATTCTAATTTCATAAAACAAGTAAACATGACTTGGAGTATCCGATATTTTTAATAAGTATCCGATATGTATCCGCAGGTATCCAAGGAATATCGGTATCTGATACGGATACGATACGAATACGTCACTCTATTTGAAGTATCCATGCTTCATAGCTTGGACTCCAGTGGGGAACCCCCACCACCCCTACTGATTTTTAATTGACTGAAAATTGTTTTTTTTTTTTTTTTGACCTTGCTCTCACAACTTCCCATGTGGAAGTGGGGGTGCTGGGTAGGAATGACAACGGGGCGGGGTGGGGCCGGGGATCACACTCCCTGTCCCCGATCCCCGACTGTGAAAATCCCCCATTCCCGGCCCCGATCCTCGACGGGGACCCTAAATCCACCCCCATCCCCGCCCCCTAACGGGGATCGGGCTTCCCAAACCCCGAAAATTCTTCGGACAAAAAAAAAAGTTAGATCCAACCCGTTAACAGATTTGATGAGATGAGCTCAAAAAATAAAAATAAAAATCAGATCATAGATCTGTTCTTCATCATCATAATCAACAACAACAACAACAACATAAACATAGAAAAAGAGGGATCTATTCATCATCAACAACAACATAGAGAGAGAGACAGAGATCTGAGTCTGATGCTCAAATATGCTATATATATATTATATATAACAAATTGAAAAAGAGAGAGAGAGAGAGAGAGAGAGAGAGAATATTCTAGATCTAGGGTGAGGGTCGCGGCGGAGATTCGCGAAGCTTGGCCTCACCGCCGGATGGTGTCACTGCCGGATCATCGAAGCTTGGTCGGTGATGGTGGTAGTGATTCGGCAAGCTTGGCCTCACCGCTGTTGGAGAAGAAAAAGAGACGGTGGAGTTGTGGGAGGATGGAGATCGGCCGTGAGAGGAGGGAGATCGGCGGTGGGAGATGGAGATCGGCGGAAGGTTTTAGAGAGAGGGAGACCGAGAGACATGAGAGACTTGTGTGAGTGGTGATGATGATGACAAAAAGAGAGAGAGAGAGAGAGAGAGAGAGAGAGAGAGTTGATAGAGCTAAATGACGAAGGCTGATTCATGTAGCCAACCTTACTTGATTGGGATAGGCTTTGTTTGATTTGGTTATATCTAGTGTAGATGAATAAATGGTAAATTACAAATACAACTTTTGAGATTTTTTTAAAGCCAATTAGATAAATTACAAATACACTTTATGAAATTTATTTAAAATATAAATTATTATATTTAATTTTTTGAAAATTTCATCACCTCCCTTGAAATTTTTAATTTCAAAACAAATAGCTCATTTTATTAACAAATTATCAAGTCAATTAACAATTTTTAATAATATTAAAATTTTATTTTAATCAATAATTCAGGTAATTTTATTGTTGTATAGAAAAACATCAAGAATCTTATGTTTTTAGTTAATTCTATTAAATAAAATTTTTTGATAAAGGGATATTTGTAATTTTTTAAAAGGACATTTACACACAAGTCCTAATTTATGAACTTATACTCTATTAAGTCCTAACTAAGAACTTTTTGACCTTCAAGTTCCATTAAATTTTAAATAATCGAAATTGCCCTTCAAATAATGATTGTTTATCATTTATGAATATCTATAAACAATATATGATGATTTGATATTTATTTTGGTTTTCAAAATTTTAAAACATCAACTTCCAAATTGAAAAAACTAAAACAAAAATATGTGCAAAAAAAAAAATGAAAAAAATGATTTTTTTTTTTTTGTGCAAAACTGAAAAAATTGTGTCTATAAAAGAGAATGATGATAGAATATTGATGTGCAAAATTGGAAGGAAAAAAACTTTAAAAATGAAAAACTGATAATATTTTCAGTTTTAAAACTGAGAAAAATTATTAATGTTCTCGGTTTTATTGGATAATTGGATCAAACTAATAAGTAGAAGGACAAAAATGTTTGATATCACACTCTGTTTTTTTTTCATTAGTTAGTGAAACAATTATTTAGAACATTACGATGCAAAATTGATAATGTTTTTAATTTTAAAAATTGAAAAAAATTAATAATATTTTTAGTTTTACTAAATAGAACTTATTGGTTCAAAATTTTTTGAATAGGACGTGCGCTACCATAATATTTGTAAATAGAATTTTTAGATAATTAATTATTTTTTAAACTATATGAGACAATCTATATTTTAAGTACATTTTAAGGGTGTATTTATAATTTAATGTTAAATTATATGGACAAAATTAAACTATTAGGTAAAAAGTGTAGTTAACCTTAATATTCATGTACTTTGAAAATCCATCCATTTGTTTTTTACTTTTATAGCAGATTGATAAAATAAAAAGTAGATGGGAGAAAATATTAAATTGAGATTTGAAATTTAAGGACAAAAAATTGAAGCTGTTGTAGGGTAATCTAAGAATTAAAAATAATCATAATGCTTCGCCGAGTTGCAGTTTTGTATGATAGAATAAATATATTAGATATCTTATTTTTCATCCATTTATTTTCAGTTTTAATTCTTTTATTTTATTATTTACCAATTTTTGCTCCTAATATATTATGTCTCTGTTTGGGAAGAGGGTTTTTTTGGCTAAAATAGCCACAAAAAACAAAATAGACTATTTTAACCACAACAAACAAAATATCACATCTAATCCATAATCATTACACTATTCTCTAAAAAAAAAAGCCAAAAAGTCCTTTTCAAACTAAGCTTTTTAGCCCAGGTTAAAATAGCCAAAAAAGTCAAAAAAACTAAAAAGCCAACCCACTTCCCAAACGAAGCATATATTCTCTCATTAGTATTGCCTTATTTTAGAAATGAACAAATTGTTTTAATACCTCAATATTACCATATCTAATTACTTTCTCATTTTTTTTCACGTAATCAAAACATGACAAATCCAATCCTTTTATTTCTCTAACTAATTACAATATTGCAATGTCAATAGTAAGAATGTCTTATATTTGCCTTGCTACAAATCGCATTAACATATTTTTAAGGTTTAAAAATAAAAATTTATTAATATTAGTAAGATATATCACATGTAAGTGTTATCTTTTAGGGTGATGATTGAGACCCCCTTCAATCACCACCTCCACCACCTCCCCACACACGTGGCGGGTGGTGATTGGAGGAGAAGAAAAAAAAAAAGAAAAATGGACCAATCATAGGAAGAGGGGGTCAAGGGGGTGAGTAAAAAAGGGGTCCAAGTCATTATTCTATCTTTTATTAGTCTTAATTTATTTATTTTTTTATATTTTTTGTTCACTAAATATATGACTTGTTTAGTGTAGATGAATAAATGGTAAATTACAAATACAACTTTTGAGATTTTTTTAAAATACAGAGTGTTTCATGTAGTTTGAAAAATTACAAATACTCCCTTATTAGAATTTTTTATTTAACAAAATTAACTAAAAAAATAAATTCATAATTATTTTTCTATACAATAATAAAATTACATAAATTATTAATTAAAATATATTTTTAACATCATTAAAAATTATTAATTAACTTGATAATTTATTAATAAAATTGATAATTTATTATAAAATTAAAATTTTTAAAAAGTAAAATATAATTTTTAAAATTATAAAAAATAATTTATATTTTAATCAAATCACAAGAATTATATTTATAATTTAGCTATAAAGGAACGATGACTTGTTCTAGTTACGTTTGCCATTTAAAAAGTACAGAGAAAAGCTTTCTTGCTCAACAAAAAAACTTATCCCAAAATTTATTTTCTTAAACCGAAAATCTTTTGTTTAGACACCGTTTGTGAAAGAAAACCCAATAACAAACAGCCAGGTGTTTCTTTATATTCCCAAAATACCCTTGTAGATAAAGGCTTATTTACCTCCACATCGCAATCGACGGCCCAGATAAAGCCGAAGCCCAGTTGGACCCGATCTACGATCTGGATTCTCCGAAGAACACGCAGTCATAGCCCACCGCTCAAGCAAACATTGAAGGATTAGGGCTTTCTAGTTACATAAATAGCCCAGACTCACACCTATTCTACTCATCTCTCTCTCTCTCTCAAATCTGCGCTTTGGGCTCCATTGTTGCAGGAAATCATGGGCAAAGGTCCTGGTCTTTACACTGATATTGGCAAGAAAGCTCGAGGTCTCTCTCTCTCTCTCTCTCTCTCTCTGTATATATATGTATATAGATATATTATACATATATGTTGGTGAAATGATTTGTATGTAGACATCATTTGTGTTTCATATTCAGTGATTATTGTATTGATTCGAGTTTTATAGTGATTCAACTTTGGATTTGTTGTTGTAGATCTTCTCTACAAGGACTACCAGAGCGACCACAAGTTCACTATTACGACCTACTCGCCTACTGGAGTTGTGAGTTTTTTTTTTCCTTTCTTATTTGGCTTTTTCGATCACTGGATGAAACTATTTTTTTCTCTTCATTATTTGTGTTTTTAATAGTACCTCTTGTTCGTTCGAATTCGTCACATAAAAATTCAGAAATAAGCTTCATAGGTTTGTGCGCTTTTGATTTATTTGGTAAATTTGTATTATATAGATATGTGCATATAGTTTAGGAGAGTCTGATACTATCTTCCCAATGATTCCTTGTGCTTTACATAATCAGGCTATCTATGTAAGTGGTGTTTATCTTCATAATTTATGGTATTGAAAATGTGTTATGATTTGCTTCATGTTGCACAAACATTGCACAATATTATAAAATGTCTTGAGAAGTTCTTTTTTTGTAATCAACTATTGGAATTGGTAGCATGTGCATTTTTGTTACTGATTTAAGTTTGTTTTAATATGTTTGGTCTTTGTTCGTCTTTCCATTATGATCTGAATTACTGATGTTCTCTTTGCAATCCCATTAATTCATTGTACTTGTGAGGAACTTTAGACAGTTCATTGTTTTATATCAAGTTTTTTGGTGCTATGTAATCATTCAATCAATAGTAGTAGTGAAATACATTGTAGACCATTTTCTTCTTTACATTGTGTGTGCACTGTGCCGACAGTGAGAAATTTTGTTGGATTTATAGAAACATTACTCCTTATCATATATTAGTTAAATGCCATTGCTTATTTATCTAGCATTGGATTTGGATTTATATTTGTTTGTCAGATTTTTAATGGGATTCATATTATATGGTCATTACTCCTTATCATATATTAGTTGATATGTTCCCATGGGCTTTTAGATGCTACTTTCATCCTGTACAAGCAAAGCATGCCATGATCTAATGGAGTGTATGGAATGTTAATGTCTTTCTTTTCCTTGTTTTAGGTTATTACTTCATCTGGAACAAAGAAGGGCGACCTATTTTTAGCTGATGTCAATACTCAGTTGAAGAACAAGAACGTCACAACCGATATCAAAGTGGACACAAACTCCAATGTGAGTTATATCTTATAATTTTATTTTTTTTAAATAAATAGTTATATCTTATACTTTACTTTAATTGGTTAAAAAGTTGATACTACTCAATCTTTTGCAGTTTGATATTATTAATGCCTCTTGAATAAAATTAAATGGATGCAAACCTGATCTGTGAAACCAAATTCTGATAGCCAATCTCCAATTTTTACTCACTATTACCTTGATGTGGTGAAATGAAAGAATTTGTTTTTGCACTTTTTCTAATTTTGTTTTATTTACTTTTCTATCATTTAAGTTAATAAATTATATTATTGAATTCAGTTAATAAATTAATTTAGATGAATACGTCGAATATTTGGCAATAGGCATGAAATGAACTCATTATTTCAACATGTTAATGTATTGAAGAAAAGATTGTGTTTTGTGTTACTCCTACGTGACCTGGATAAATTTTCTTTACATCATTTTGCTTATTGAAGTGGGAATGGTGTTATCTTAACTTATGCATATATAATATATATACACGCACAATACTTTTTTATCAACAGAAAAAAAAGAGCACCTTGAGTTGGGTTTTGGCGTGGACTCTCTGCCCAATTTTTTCTGTTTTGATTATTGATTGTGTGATTCTTCGTGTGAGGTTATGTACATATTTTCACTAAATCACGCTAGTTTCTACCACTAGACTCTGCATATTTTCTTGGGTGTTGGCATTTTTTGTACAAGAGATATGTTCTACAAACTACTTGTGTGCACGACTTATTATTATTATTTTTTTGTGTGGTCCATTTCTGTAAGCATGGGTTGATTTATCTGGCGTCATTCTCTTTTCTTTGACCATCTAACTGAAGTCTTGCTCATGCACCAGCTCTTAACTACTATCACAGTTGACGAGGCTGCTCCTGGGTTGAAGACGATCTTAAGCTTCAAAGTTCCCGATCAAAGGTCTGGCAAGGTAAGCAATCCGTTGCTTGATTTTTGTAGTAAATATTTTTTGTACTACAGTTGATGGGATCAGTTTCCTTTCTTTTTTCATGCAATGTGTTGGAGGAATTTAGGCTTCTGATGAAATCCATCAGTTAGTTGCTGCATTTAATTTTCATAACATATTGAAGTTTGAGGTATTGCTGTATAATCACTAATCGTTTAGTGGTTTGTTACAGTTGGAAGTTCAATACTTGCATGACTATGCGGGGATAAGCACGAGCATTGGGTTGACGGCAAACCCCATCGTCAACTTCTCAGGTGTGTTGGGGAGCAATGTTGTTGCACTGGGGACTGATGTCTCCTTTGACACCAAAACGGGGGAATTCACCAAGTGTAATGCTGGATTCAGCTTTTCCAATGCAGACCTTATTGCTTCATTGACCCTGTGAGTAGTTTCATCTTTTAGAGGATTATTTACTAACTTTTATGTTTTTACCTGTCTACAATTTGCGGTAAAATCTTACGGTTAATAGGAGAATGGGTTGCTCTCCCTTCCTCATTTACATATTAATATTTATGTGGATTTTGGTTCATGTTGAGCATTTAATGAGAAATTTCCTGCTCCTCCTATCTTGAGCATATGTTCTAAAAAATAAGTGAACTAAATTTGGCGTATGATATGGTGGCAAGATTCAGAGGATTTCAGTTCTAAAGCTTCTCAATTCTTGGCTGGTGTTTGATGTTTGATTCTTCCACGCATAATGTGGTGTTGTTTCACTCAGGAATGAGAAGGGTGATGCTGTGAATGCATCCTATTACCATATGGTGAACCCGTTGGCTAACACATCTGTTGGGGCGGAGGTAACTCACAGCTTCTCAACCAGCAAGAACACATTCACTGTTGGCACTCAGCATTCGTTGGACCCATTGACCACAGTGAAGGCACGGGTTAATAGCTTTGGCAGGGCAAGTGCACTCATCCAGCATGAGTGGCGACCAAAGTCACTTTTCACCATTTCTGGAGAAGTAGACACCAAGGCTGTTGACAAGAGTGCCAAGTTTGGGTTGGCCTTGGCCCTCAAACCCTAGGTCGGTTATTCAGTTCTTTAGGTTGGTGGGAGCAATAACGACGTGGGCATGAGGAAGTAGCATAGTTGCCTGTTTACACTTTATTCTGTTCCTATCAGTTGATTCTCATATTTTTGGTGGTTTTTTGGAATGCAGAAATAAATCTAGATATGGGTTTATGAACTTGTGTCGATACTTACATTCTCTTATTCATCCCTTGTTAAAACTGGGATGAGCACTTGATATTTGAAGAGCTTTAAGTCATTGACTTGAGATTTTGTTCCAATCCTACGATCTTCTACTTCTTTTTTGTTTGTTTGTCCTTTCATTGTGGTGTTTTTGTATACAGGTGTTACTGGTTGTTTGCAATGTGGGATGTTGCTACGAAGTTTTAGGCCTTGTTTGGTTTGTGTTTCTTAAAAAATTTTGAGAAAAATTCTCTACAAATAAGTTTTCAAAAGTAGTCAAACCAAACAAATTTTTCTAAATTTTTTTTCCAAAACTTGTTTAGTTTACAAGTTTTCCAAACAAATCTCTCTCTCATACACATCAAATCAATCACTTTTTCCAAAACTCTCTCTCAAAATAATTTTTCAAAACATCTTTTAAAAAAAAACCAAACCAAACAAATTTTTGTACTTTTTATCTCAAAACATGTTTATCAAATACAAACCAAACAAGCCCTTAGTCTTGCTTCCAAAATGTGATTGACAATTTCATTTGATGTATGCTCTGCTTATATGCATATTTCTTTGTTGCCATGGATTTTGGCCAGTTGAATTACTTGGTTGATCTGTCATGAGCATCCAAGGAATTGGGCAGCATAGATGATGTTCTGTTCCAATACTACACGTGCCATTTTATGTATGCATTTTTTTTGTTGACTAAGCAAAAGCATGTCTATTTTCTTGTAGGCTGAGGCATATTGGTGCCATTTTGAGTTTTAATTTGCATTTTTTTTTATCTTAGCTTGAAACTTGAAAACATGAAAGAAGGTGATCATGAACATGTATGCATTTTTTGTTGACTAATAGAGCATTTCTATTTTATTGTAGCATTTTGAGGCATTTGGTGCCATTTTGAGTTCTAATTTGCATTGGGTCGTTTGCTTGGAACTTGAAAGGATGAAAATATGGCTCTTGTGATGCACCATGCACACGTATGGGTAGTAGGATTCTTGTAACGATAAGCTTTGAAGGATTCGCAATCAGTTGCTTGCCCTAGGTCGGTCTGTCAAGGGAGAAGATGTTGTTGATTCAGGATTATCATGTCGTTAATAGTTTCGACCATTTATAATTGATAAACTCAATCACACCAAGTGAGATCTTGAGCTCTGCCTCAAGATTCTATTAACATGGTCCCAAACCATTAAAAACAGCTCTCCTGATGTCAGTTACCATTGCACATTCCGTCTGAGGCACTTGGCTCGATATGATGCATGCCTGAGTCAACTGCACATCAGCTAATATTCATTTTGAAGCCTGTTAATTTTTTATGTTCAAATTGATATGCATTACAAAAAAATTAACTTATTCAAACCTTGACATCTGATTGGCTCAACAAAAATTTACTGAAGATAAAAATTTAGCACATTTTCACTTCTGATTAGCTCAACAAAAGTTTATTTAACATAAATAAATTCAATTTCAACACATTGTAAAACTCATTAAATTTTAAAGTCAAATTAGTGTTCTAGTTTAAAGGACAACAGTTAAGGATGAAGATGCCTATCTAAATGAAAGTTTAGTCTAATTAAATTGCTTTGACTAATCCAATATCAATCACCGTAATATTGTGTTTGATTGGAAGATTTGATAAGGAATTAAGAAAAAAGAGAGGAAAATATAGATAAAATGTAAATAAAATATATTTATATTTCATTTAATTTCACACACCTTTTCCTTCTAGTTTTTCAAATCCTTCCCCAAATCTCCCACCTAAACACAACATAAAGGGTTGGCTTGGCGGTTAGTCACTTGACCCTTATGCCTCATGAAGCATCAAGTTTATGGTTCATCTTCATGAAGAGCTATTAATCCCTTTGGAACCCACATCCATAGCCTAAGATTTATCTGACCCACGTAAAGGGGCGTTTTTTTGTGAATCTCAGGATTAGTTGGGGTTTACCAGAATAACATATTATCAAAAGAAAAAAAAACTTTCCTATGCATTACTAAACCCATATTTGCAGCATATATGATCGTACTCCATAGTTCTATATCATTTAATCAACGACTAGAAAATTGAAGACAGATATGATGATTTCCTATATTAACATTTTAGCTCATAAACTAATGCTGAACACTGTCAGCTTGAAGAAGACCCTCGCGGATCTGCGAGGCGACATCTTTTACTGCACCAGGCCCATGTGGGATGAAAACTGCTGAGGACTTTGAGTTGGAACCAATTTCCTTCATGGTGTCGAAGTATTGCGTCACAAGCACCATGTCCATGATATCCTTGGCAGTTGTTCCAGGCACATTCTCAGAAAAAGCAAGCACGCTGTCCCTCAATCCATCTACAATAGCTTGGCGCTGCCTGGGAATACCGAGCCCTGAAAGGTATTTAGATTCAGCCTCCCCCTCGGCTCGCTTGATCTGCAATATTTTCTCTGCTTCAGCCTTCTCATTTGCTGCAACCCTCATTCTAGCAGCTGTTGTGATATAATTAAATTACAATGTAAATCATCTCAATTCTCAAACCTAGGTATGATGCATGATGAGTTTCAACATGTACCCAAAGATTTCTCCTTAAATCATATTTACACGCAAAAGATGTTTGGCATTTACTTATAAATATGAAGACAATCCCATTATATATATATATATATATGTATAAGTTGAGGCATGTGCACTGTTACCTGCATTTATTTCATTCATCGCCCTCTTCACATGAATATCTGGTTCAATATCCACAATAAGAGTCTGGACTATTTCAAACCCACAGGCAGACATGGCCTACACAGATTATAGAAGGAAAGACAAAGGCAGTATAAGTGTTGACCTGATTGTCATTAAAAATGGATTCATATTTGTCAAGACAATTTGTCACCTTTTCAAGTTCTTCCTCCACAGCTTTTGCTATATCATTCTTCTGTTCAAAAGCAGAGTCCAAGTCCAACTTTGGTGCACTTGCCCTAATAACTGAACAGATCGAAGGAGGGGTAGCCCATTACTTTTAATACAAATCTCAACTGTTAATCCAGTACTATAAACAATTCTACCCAGCACAATGCATCATGTTTACAATTACAAGAAAAAAGAAAGAAGAAAAAAAAAACTAAGCTATAAAGGGGCGGGGCAGATATATGCCAGAGATGAGAATGTGGCATTGTAGCGAGTTCCCCAACCTATTTCACTGTATCATTACAAATTTACGAGCAGAACAAAGAATATTTGGACCTAAATCTACTCTCTTTCAAAACCTCAAGTTCAGCAGCAGTGGATCCGCTTTATGTTTTGAAAACTTATTGAGCCATTTGACATGTGTTCCACGATGTTTTAAATATCAGTTGGTACCTTGGCAGGAAACTTTTTCATCGCAACAAAGATGATAAAAGCTGCATCCATACCATCAAAAACATAGGCTTGGATTTGCTCTTTGGTGTTGGAAAGCTTATAGAAAGCATCAGGTCCTTTTCCTGACAAAGCACGGTATTGAATAGATGCAACCACATTGACAAAGACATTATCCTGAAATGAAAACAATACTCGCAATTTATGAACTGATGGCACCAGTATGCAAACAATTATCCACATCACACCTTGATTTATTGTTGAAATAAAAAAGCATTTCAATGAAAAGGGAGAAGCATAAAAGTAAGCTAAAGAGGTAACTTACGAGGAGTATTCCCCACATAATAAACAAAGAAATAAAGAGGAAAACAAATAAGTCTCAGAGAAGGAAAGCAAAGCAACTCTGATAGGTTGAAGGAACAAACAGGCAGAACTACATAAGAAGGCAAATGATATATACATAAGACAACAATTACCAAATGAAAATTTTATCAAATGTAATTGTACATATTAACCAAAGATGCATTTGTATAAATAGCTGAATAAATATGATTTCTTTTTTCTCACTACGTATATGACAATACAACTGTAGATGCTAGGGTGCTGAAGCACACCAAAGTGAAGCATTTTAAGGAAAGGGCAGAAAATATATGTTACAAAGATTTAGGAAATCTTTCAGCCTTAACTCAGAATATTGCATAAAAACAATGAAGTCAATCATTTTCTTGAAGCACCATAAACAAATAGTCAAATACATACACAACTACAAGCATGTCACTAAAAAGAGCGCACACAATGGAATTCTAAACGGTAAACTGACTGTTATCTTCAAGATATTATCACCTAAGACAATTGATAAACTTCAAGTCAGTTTTACTATTCCGAAAATTCAATTATGAAATCATGATTTCCTTTTGCACTGCAATAAACATTGTAAGAAAGCAGGTATTCAACTGTTTATATTAAGAGTTCAACTTCTTCATGAACCACCAGAACAAAAACAGTTTCTGGTTATTATTTTTGGTTCAACAACAATTTATGATTTAACTTGATAACATAAAAAGTATGCATCATAATAACTGAATAGCCAAAGAGAATTTATAAGGACCTATTTCATTTCGGGTGATGCCACTTAGGCCAAAAAATTAGACTCACTTTTCAAACCCAATGATGTGCCATTGCCTTAGAAAATCTAAGGCAACACTGTCTCTCTTGTCTTCTCTAATTGTCAATCAATCATCTTAGTCTAGAAAGTGGGTCTAAAAAATTGACTTGTATATCATTTTCCATTTCATAATTAAATTACTTCAAACAATGGACATTGGATAAGTAGAACAATGTTAACTTGTCATATTTGTAAGACATGTTACAATGATCTGATAGATTACCAAAAGTTTGAGGCAAACATCATATAGGTGATCCAGTCTGGTTTCCAGCCTGTCATCTTTTTCTGGTTCTTTTCTTTTTCTTTTTTTATTTTTGAACATTTGGACATTAAAATTTTTCAGCGAGTTGATGCTACTTACATTTGATTTAACAAATTGAAGAAGCACAAATAAGCATATGTAAAAGCCAATTAGTGATAGTTGTATAAGAAATACAAGCAGAATAGAGAAACTTCACGCCTTAGTTTTTGTTTCACAGCAAACATCAAGCTGTTGAAGACGTAATGATAATTTCCCAGCTAACTTGTACCCAAAATACCACGGTACGCAGTGACACCCTGGCTCAAGCACATCATCAAACTTCCCAAAATGCTCCCTAACAGCAACTGTAGACTGATCCACTTGAATGCAACACCCATAGTTCAATCCTATAAGTGAGATGAACTTATGCAGGTGAGTTTAGAAATTCTAGTAATAATTACCCAAAATGCAGCAAAATTTGATAAAATGAAAAAATGAAAAATCAAGTAACCTATCAGCCATAGAGAGCTTTTATTTAAATTTTTGTTCTATCAACTTTTTTTTTTTTTTTAATCGGCAAAAAAGAAACTATGTTCTATCAACTTGATGCAACATACATAAAATATAAGCTACTTCATTAATCTTAAAATTTTGATATGAACTCAGATAACACTTTACATTATTCTGATTGGAAAAGCATACTTATCAACAAACAAACAAACAAAAAAATCATCTGGTTGGAAGCTTTTGAGCAGTTGCGAGATTTTAATTAGTTTCTACAATGGAAAAGGGCAAGGGACAACAACAAAAACAGTAAAAGCATAATTTTCATATAATGGGTGGAAGTTTAGTTACAAAAAATCAATATATATTATGTGAAGGATCCATTGAAACTAAATTTTCCCTTAAATCCCAAGATGATAAGAGTCTTATATAAATAATTTTTTATTTACAGTTTGTTGTTTTCAATTCCAACTGAACAAATCATTATGGTTTTAGCTTCCAGGGTTTTCTTATAGAAATTTCCTCAAAAATCTATACATACAAATAAGAGAAACATATTAAAATGAAGAATTTTAAATCATCTAGGATGGCCACCTAAAACATGTTTTTCCCAGTGAGCACCACCTACGATCTTATTCTCTATCAGTTCATCATGCAATTTCTATGTTCCTCTAGACTAAGATTCTTTTTAGCCTAGTTGTTTCCCTTGTAGCAAATAGATAACTCAACTACAGAAGACTACAAGCCCAACAACGAAAAAGATGGGATGAAAACAAAACAAAAAAAAACCAAAAAAAACAAAATTTTAAACATCTAATCTAGTATTAGTTTCACAGTACGATAAATTAACAAATACTGCTAATCCCATCCTAGAGATATATAATTTTCTTCCTGAGCTATTTTGATTTGTAGTTCCATTTATTCATTTCCCAACACTACTCTTATTTGATTGAAAAAGCATACTTCAATACAATCTTATTTCACCATCTAAAAAAAAATACAATCTTATTCATTTAAAAGTATGAAAAATATTCAGAACATTTTTAAGGAAATAACTACTTGATTAGAAAACAGTTTTAACTTCTCAGAGCAGAGCAACAAACCACACATAACCTGATAGGACAACATTAAAGAAGGATTGAAGGTATCAAAAAAAAAAAAAAAAATCCTCTCAATGGCATATATAGGTTTCGAAGCACAACCACCGAGGAAATCAAAAACAAAAATCAAGAATAAAATTCTTGAAAGTAAAGGAAACAAAAGGGAAATTCAATTTGAATCATGTTATGCCATAGAATTTAACTATAACTGATGCGGAATGGAGCGAGATTAACATAAGCATTTGAGAGAGACTGATGTCTACTACAACTTAGGGGTGTAACTTAGGCGGGCTCAACTAGGGATCAAGGTCGTTAAAATCGGGATCCTACGTTGGATTGTTGGAGGTGTTTATAGGATCGGATCGTAGAATCGGATCGAGGATCGTAAGATCCTACCGAAAAAGACAAATTACATAATAATTTAATTTAAATAAATATTTCTTATAAAGTATACACAAAATGAGCCTATATTTTATTAAAAAGAAGTGAAAATATTGTGAAAAATATAATACTCCATGTAAAATGTACATATAATAATATACAATAGAAAACTCGATGGTAAAAGTTTTGTATTTTAGCAAAAAAGAAGGTGAAGAAGAAGAAGAATTCTATAACAAAATAATTCACAATCTACAATAATGCATAAAAAGTGAAGAAAAAATATTTAATAAAGTTGGATATGAAAATAGATTAAGAACTCAAAAGAGTAGCTTAACCGAATGATAAGATTTGTCGTTAGCATCCCTGGTGGAGCGGATTCAAGTCACAAAAATAATTTCTCCAAAAATTGGGATAAAGTTGCAATCATTTTACCCTCGTTAGACTCTGCTAAAGCTAAGTTTGTTTTTCCGACTATTTAATTTTCTTAAATTACCGCAATATTTGAATGTTTGTTTCCTAGTTTGTTTTTCTTAGTCTATTTGATTCAATACGACTTAATTTTTATCATTTATTTTGACCACATAAATTGGTATTTAGACAACAAACATAAAATTTACAATAAAATATGCCATACAATACAAAATAAGGCTTGTAAATTGGATCGGATATGATCGGATTCGGATCGGGATTCCATGATCCTATAAGATTCCACTATCAAGATCGAAAGATCCTACCTATAAAGAGATTTTTACACGATCCGGATCGATTGTACTTAAATGGATCGTAAGATCCGGATCGAGATTCTGATAACCATGCTAGGGATGGCAATTTGAAACCGGCCCGATGGAGATCCAACCCCGAATTAAGCGGGTTTTTCCCGAAAAATACCCCCGACGGGACGGGGATGGTATTTAAAAACCAATCCCCGAACAGATTCGGGCCGGGGACGGGGATAAGTGTCCCAGCCCCGTACCCGGCCCGGCCCCGTCCCCGATCCCCGGCCCGATTTATCCCCGATGTTAAATTACGATTTTACCCTTATATATATACTATGAAGCACGGATACGGACACGAACACGCATACGGACACGGACACGGACACGTCAATTTTTAAAAAATGGGGACACGGACACGGCAGGGGACACGGCAGATTTTTTAATTTTTTTATAAATATTTTTATTTTAATACATATTAATTATTTTTTTTATTTATTATATTTTTTAAGTAATATGTTCTAATTAATTTTTTTATTTTATTTTATATACATGTTTATTTATTTTTATTAATATGTATAAGTATATATAATATAATAGTTATATAATAATAACTGGTGGCATCCTTTATAACTATTATAATAATAATACTTTCAGTTATTATTATAATATAATAATAATAGTTATATTATATATATATATATATATATATATGAATCCAGCAGATTACAATAATAGTTATATATTATATACATATATGAATCTAGCAGATTAAAGAAGATAAAGACGCGACTGAGAGAGAGAGGAAGAAGCGATCGATCGCGATCGCGACCGCGAGGGAGAGAAGGTGAGAGAGAGAGATCGTCGAAGTCGAAGGGCGACTGGATCGTCGAAGTCGAAGGGAATGGAGGTCGCCGGCGAGTCGACTGGACTGGATCGAAGTCCAGGTTTGTTTCAAGACCTTTACTCTTCTCCTTTACTCTTCTTTTTTGCTCTTTGTGTCCAGATTTGATGGACACCCCGTGTCAGACACTGCCACGGCATGAAATCTGCCGTGTCCATGCTTCATAGTATATATATATATATAAACCAGGTCTCAGTCTCAGATCTCATTTCTCTCTTCTCTACCCCATCTCCGTCTCTCAACTCTCTCTACCTCACTGACTTCTCTCTCTCTCTCAAATCCACCACCACCGCCGTCCAGCTCGCACCACCACCACCACATCGCGTCTCTCATCCACTCCCTCTCTCTCGACGTCGACAACCACCACCGTCTTCTAGCTCGTACCACCACCACTACCACCGCGTCTCATCCTCTCCCTCTTCTCGACGTCGCCGACCACCACCACCACCACCACCACCGCGTCTCATCCACTCCCTCACAGATCAGATCTTCTTTTTTTTTTTTGTTTTCAGATCTGTTTCACAATTTTTTTTTTGTTTTTAGATCTGTTTCAGATCTGTCTCGGATGATGAGTTGCATTTTCTGATGATGTTGTTGATGTTGTTGTATTTTCGGATGACATTGATGAGTTGTATTTTTTCCGTCCATTAATAATTTTGTTTCAGATCTGAGAGGGTGAATTGTGATCTGGAGTTGGGCCGAGGTAACGGCCGAGCAAGTTGAGGGCCCAACGGTGCATGGGTCCGAGATGATCGACTTTTTGCCCAAAGTGGGCTGCCAGAACTTGGGCCGGGCAGAGTACAGGCTGAGTGTCACCCCGGACCGGACAGAAACTGCTCGGTAAGGCGTGGACAACCGAGGAAGTTGAGTGGCCGGTGCCCGGAAAGGCGTGGTCAGCCGAGGAGACTGTATGACCGGCAGGAAGGCCGATCAAAGTAAGTATCCGGGCTAGGCTCGGCCGGGATGCCGCTTAGCCCGGTCCTCCGTGTGTTTATCCGGTTAGGCGCTTGAAGTATGAAGCATGGTATGACCGAGGTAGGGCAGCTCGGCTGCCGAGCTCCAGCTGTGATGACAGGCAGTTGAGATTAGGTGATGAATGGCATGGTTTATGCTGACAGATGGGATAGCAGAGCCACGTGTCAAGAGATGGCAGGGAGTGGATATGGGGCTCAGTGGGTATATAAGCATGTCTGCGCCCCCCATACGCGACACACGAACATCTCTGTAAGGAATTCTTACACTTAGTTTAATTTATTTGTTATTACATTAGGTTATAATCATTCAATCTTTTTATCAAAATTAATTTAGGAATTTAACAATTAAATTAGGTTAATTTCACAATAGTCCCTGTGGATCGATACTTGAACTTGCCATCATTCTAAAAGAATTTGGTGTAGTTTAGTATTTAATTTTGGTGTGCTCAACGACCCATCACCCGCCCCACCCCATTGCCATTCCTAGGCTCAACCCGAGCAACCCGAACCCAGCCCCAATTTTTTTAGGGCTTGGACAAGATATTTTTAAATTCGGTATGGATTTGGGTAAAAATTCAAAAGTCTGAATTAAATTTGGACGGGCTCGAACAAAGACATCAAACAACCCGAGTAATCCGAAACCTGAATTATATATATAGATATATAAAAATATTAAATATATATATAAATTATTAGCCATTACATGATATTAAAGTAATTTAGATTATTAAATCATATTGAATATATATTATATATACAAATAACATAAAATCTTACCTTTTTTATTTTTATTTTTATTCATAAATTGTAAAGACTACTATAGCAGTATCT